GGTGCAGCGAGCTGTTTGGCCGATGCAGAGCGGAGTGCACGTGCTGGGGTGTACGGTTTAACCATGTCCTGGATGTAGGAAGGGCCAGATCCATTCGCTGCATGGTACGCAAGTACCAGTGTCTTGAAGTGGATTCTAGCAGTTACCGGAAGCCAGTGAAGGGAGCGGAGGAGCGGCGTGGTGTGGGAGAATTTAGGAAGGTTGAAGACCAGACGAGCCGCTGCATTCTGGATTAGCTGCAGAGGTCGGATGGCACATGCAGGTAGACCAGCCAGGAGGGAGTTGCAGTAGTCTAGGCGTGAGATGACGAGAGCCTGGACCAGAACCTGCGTCGCTTTCTGGGTCAGGTGGGGACGTATCCTCCTGATGTTGTAAAGCGTGTATCTGCAGCAGCGGGTTGTAGCAGCGATGTTTGCAGTGAAGGACAGTTTGTTATCTAGGATCACATCCAGATTCCTTGCAGTCTGAGTCGGGGAAACAACAGAGGTGCTGATGTTGATTGTTAGGTCAAGAGTGGGACAATCTTTTCCCGGAAGGAAAAGCAGTTCAGTCTTGTCAAGGTTGAGCTTGAGGTGGTGAGCAGACATCCACTGAGAGATGTCAGCTAGACAAGCAGAGATGCGTGCGACGACCTGGGTCTCTGAGCGGGGAAAGGACAGAATTAATTGGGTGTCGTAGCAGTGGTTTGAAAAACCATGCGGGCTAATGACAGATCAGAGCGAGTTTGTGTACAAGGAGAAGAGGAGGGGACCAAGAACAGAGCCCTGAGGGACCCCTGAGGTTAATTGACAAGGGTCGGACTCGGACCCTCTCCAAGTTACCCTGTAGGTGCGGTCTTTGAGGTATGAGGTGAGGAGGGAAAGTGCAGAGCCTGAAACCCCAAGTTTTTGGAGAGTGCGAAGGAGGATCTGCTGGTTCACCGTGTCGAATGCAGCAGACAGGTCCAGAAGGATGATGACAGAGGAGAGGGATGCTGCTTTAGCCGTGTGCAGTTCCTCTGAGACAGCAAGGAGAGCAGTTTCTGTTGAGTGATCCCCCAACAACAATCAGCGTTTAAACGTCTCTTCTGAGTCTGTCTTTCCAGGCACTAAATGTGTAGTAAACACTGTGATATGACGCCAAAGGATATGCAACAAAACCAAAATGGATCATGCATGAAGATAATTCCCATTCTCTTTGTCTGTAAGTGTTTCTTTGTCTGTTTATGATTGGCTCTGACATCATTATGCCTCAGATGAAGCTTTAATCCTCTTAATGTGATGTCATTTCAGCCTCATAAAGACACACTTGGCTCCAACATTCATTTTGTTTTCTGGATGGAGGAACATTTCCAAACGATTAGGGAGGATTTCCTGCTGCAGAACCATTCAAATCCTCCTGTTCACAAACATAGTGTCTTTTTTAAACCTCTATCAACTGCATAAACACCTTTTCCCCTACTCCCCCCCCCTACCCGACTTGTAAAGCGACCTTGGGTTTCGTGAAAGGCGCTATATAAATATTATGTATTATTATTTATTATTATTAAATAAAGTAAAACACCCCAAAATGAGTTTAACAGCAAATCAATGCAGCAATGGTAATCATTCATGTTTTAATATAAAGATATGTGTGTCCCACAAAACCATAAACAATTACTTATTTAGCACAACGATTACAATAGGCATTCATTATCCAGCTTTTTCTAACATGCAACATGTATGATTTCCATCTTGCATCTATCATAATTAATTTATATTATTTTTAAAATGTTTAGGATATCCCAATGTGACATCAAGAATATATAATATATTTATAAATGGATGTTTGATAAAAAGAAAATCAACAAAGTAAATCCCCTAATACATAATAATATTCAAGTTTAGTTTAGTTGTTAGAATTAAAGGGTAGTTTGTCGCCCCCATGTGGTTATTTATTTTAAAACCACGTTTTTGTAATATTTATATATATATTTTACAAATTATTTTTAACAAATACTTTAGAAGAATATCATTGTTATCAACTTTGATCAGCTTTTATACATTATAATTATACTGATATTAATAATGATCTATTATATAGAATGAATCTAGCCTCAGGTCTTTTTTGGATATGACCAGAAGAGTTATTTATAGTAAATAATGTTCAGTAAATTCCTAGGTTTTACTAGATTAAAATACAAATGTGATGAGACTTTAGCATTCGAAATGTGTGAAATGAATGTCACCATAATCATACATAAAAATAAAAATAGAATATAAATAGGTATGTTAGATTTCTTTTTAACTTTTGACCAACAACTAAAGTTGAAAAATGGTCATGTCTTAATGAGGTCATGTTGTTTTCCCCTTATTTGTATTTATAAAATGTTACAGCATGTTTTGACTCTCAGGGCCACTTTACTGAATGTATCCCAAAGCTCCACAGAAAGTAAACAGATCAAGCATCAGAAAAAACATTATTCAATCAGAAGTTATTTTCCATGTGATAATAAAGACGTTTTTATCCACATGCATTTGACTCTGCGTCAGGAAACAGGCACGATACTGTCGTCCTAACAATATACAGAATTTACATAAAGGACAAACGAGTATGAGTGTTTTATGGGAGTGTAGATGAAGGTCGGTTTATTCAGTTTACCACAGAGCATTTAGTTTTATTACAGGAGACGTTTTTAACACTCCCCGCTCTGATTTACATGAGGAGGCCTTTCTTTTTAACAGCTAAAGAGATTAGACTGCATCATATTTATCTGTGCGCCTCTGAAGCTCCTTACAGCTGTTTCACATGCATTAACTCAGGGCTGGATCACAGGCCTGCTGCTTTAAATAAATCATGACCTCGGGAAGACCAAATTAAACCGACTGCAAAACACTTTCAAATTCTAATTAGTGGCCCTCCCAGTGATCTCGTATTTTGTCGTCTTTCAGAAACAAGTGGCCTAGGTGTGTCCACTACATGTTGCTGACAGTTTTACATGTTGAAAAAGTCACTGGGCTAATCCTTTTATTCCAGATGACACTCAATCAGACACGATGCTTTGTCTGAGGTACTTATGGACAAATGTAAGGCCATATAATTAAAGTGTAATCAAGTGGTCGAATATGAGATTACTGGTACATTTTGAATGAAAAGTCGGCCAGTTAGACCTTCATTAAAGAGCACGTTTTATACTTATTGTTAGGTTCATACTTATGTATAAGAAAATGATTATAATAATAAAACATTAACAATTAGGCAAATCGTTGTCTCATGCAATATGGTTATATGTTTGAATGTTCAAAGCACATTCTTTCTCTCCAAACATCTATCTGAAAACCTGTATCCAGCTATGGGATCGGCTTGTGAGAAGAACATGGCCAACATTGCAAAAGTATAAATATATAAAGCTGCGTGAGGAGAGGTGGTATATTTTAATGAGCCTAGGTGTGACCAGTGGCGTTTTTATATGTACAAAAGTGGTGAAGCACAAAAAACTTAGATGTCTATATATAAGCTTCTGCGTGAGGTTCATGAGGCACTGGCACTGACTCTTCAGGTTTACAAATATTATATTTTGACCTAAATCAAAATATAATATTATTTTCAAAAGCTTTTTTTGTCTGATGCTTCGATTAATTTTAAACAGACAGTTCAACAAAAGGATACCCAAAACATTTAATTTTATCATTTAAATATTGAATTGTTCTCTCTTAGTAAGATCCCATTTTCAATAAAATTGCGGTCTTACCTTGACTTCAAGATGAAGTCCATTTGCCTATCCTTCTGGACAAAAATCTCTATTACTTTTTTGTAAAAGTCCTCCTTATCTTCTTGTAGTTTCAAAAGTCTATCATAAATCTAATCGATAGATTT